ATCGTCGTCGTCGTCATCGTTATTATGACAATATGATCTATACCTTTTTTTTGGTCATGGAACGAAGCTTTTTTGGTGTGTTTCTTCTAGGATGCATGCAAGCACGTGAACATATATTCTCTCCTTACAATACGCATGTCAAACGTAGCTTGCCAATCTGTAATTCTTGGCCTCCAGAAGTGAGAACGGACTTGGAAAATTGATAGTGTATATTGTCTTGATGTATATCAAATCTGACATTATTAGAAGAACCTAGTGGATTTCATATTCTTCGACAATCAGTAGATTTTGTATTGTTCGACAATTTCGAAGAGAATCAGTGCTAATGGAATTCAAAAATAAGGTGGAGAATTATGGATGATTGCACCCTTGCAAAGCACAAACAGAACTTATGAGGATATAATATTCCAATAGACAGAATGATCAATCAATAATTAAATTTTGGAGAGGAGGAGGAAGAATCACAAACAACAGAGTTCTGCCTCTGAAAATTTTGAACACAATCAACGCGAATGGAATTTAATGATTGTAGCACGGTGCGTCTTTAAGCATGATAGGAAAAAAGGTTGTGATATTATCTTGTGATTTAAAATTTGAAACTAAACTATTTTTATCCCATCCCGCCATATAGTATGCGATCGTATTCACTAATTGGATTGTTTTAATAACTAATCTAAGATTAATAGATCTTGCTTAATAAATTATCTACCCGTAATTATTTTTTATGGCATCATGTGAATGTGACATGTGTCCTTATGCAAATTTCAATTGAGCTAGTGATTTATAGATGACTTCATCATGCATCTTTAAATGATATTTAAGCAGATTTGAGTGATGATCAAATGCGATTAAAATATGATAATAATACTTAAAATTCAAAGAAAAACTAAAATTATCTTATCACATATATTATTGAACAATAGAATCGTAAAGTAGAATGTATTTATGGTATATTAAAAATGCAACACATGTCCCGAAAGCTCTTTTAGATTGAGTCAGAAGTCTCAATTCATCCCGAAATCCTTCTATCTTCATATATTAAGATTTAATCATTATATAAATATAATAAATTAAATATTATGGGTTTTATTTTTTTCTTTTTGAAATAAATTTAATCTTTATTTTCTAGAGTCAACATGACTTTTTCTTAAAGATATTTCTGGAAAAAAACACCTAAAATATTTTTTTTATTAACTTCAAAATGTGAATAATTTTGGATTTTACCAATGGAATTAACATAACGATGAATGATTCTCTGAATAAATATGATAATAGATAACACGTTAAGTTTCCAGTTGAAATTTTAATTAGCTTTAGAATTGGAAATAATCAACTATAGAATTCCCTGTATAGGCTATTAATCATAATGATACATATAAAGTTGATTAATTTAATAAAATAGATTCCTTATATAATTTCTTATTACATACATTGTACGAAATTAAAGAATCAATACTATAGTTAAAAGTTTGGATTAAAAAATAAGGTAATACTATAATTTAACTAGTTTACAATTTCTTTTTTATTTTAATGAAAAAGAGTTTTTGGTGATGATATATGGCACAATTGATCTAAATTCTCTTATTGAGCGACACATATTAATTAAAAATTTTACTTTAATGTATATCTAGATTAATAATCCAAAACTTCTCTTTTTTCTATTATCATCATCAAACTATATGAGTATATAATTAGTAAGTTTGGATACCATTATGGTCATCCTTATCACATCGTTTGTCTCATGCACATAATTTTCTTTTTCGTTATTTGAACGTGTCATTTTATTTCGTCTCAAAAGTTACGATGAGAAAGTAAAACTTAATTCTTCAGTTTCTTTATTTACTCTAACTAGCTAATGAAGATGCGCTTTGCGCGCATGCCCTGTAGTGATTTTTCATTACTTATCAAAATGTATGAACAAATAAATTTATATGGAAACATAATTTTATGGGATTATTCTCAACATATGTACGAAGTTATTCAATTCATGAAATTCTTATATTATTTGGAAAGGAAAACAAAATATTACATTAACTCGACTAATACAATATTATTGTACAATTGAAATAAAGAAAGAATATACAAAAACGAAAAGTTAAGAGATGTTAAAAAACTATCTAGAATATTCACAAAAATTTTCAATTTTTATAACTTTCTTAACAAATTTTAATTCACACGCATGAATTTTAAATACCAGCTGCATTGAAAATCTTATTTTATATAGAATACTTATAAATTAGTTTTGAGTAGATGCATAACATAAAAATGTGCAAACAAGAGATACAAATTTTTCAAAGAATCAAGTCATAGTAAGAAACATAACATGCTATTAAAAATTGAGAAAATAGTTACATTTGGAATAGAGGTCTCCATCACAAACAGATAACCTAAATTGTCATTCGACCCTCTTCTGCATTACATCCATCTTTATACTATTTTATAGATAAACTTTTTAAAAGGACAAGAGAATTTTTTATCTACTTATATAAAAAAATAATGAAACGATTAAATGATGTCCGTTGCCAGAGAGATGCAGTAAATGAGTTCTCAATAGCCACTTCCTTCAGTGAGGTCAGGGAATGAGTACAAGGAAGCCCCGCGCCCCGGTTCAGGCGGATCCAATACAACGTCTTTCGGGGATGCACGATTTCGATATAAGTCTCCGGTCCAGCCTCTGCTCCAGTCTCCGCTCCATGTGTCTGTGACACACCAGCCACAACAACTGGTTACTCTTGCAACTGTACCTCCGCCTATACCGGCTGGCTGGGGCAGCCAGGAGACTCCTTATTGCTGCCTGTGTGCCCATAACTGGCATATCAGCTGAATTGGTTACAACAAAGGAGAAAAGGTCCTGACTAACGAAAAGCTGTTATACTGTTTTGATGGGATTTGTTATTGGCGCTTCATTTTCGTTCATCTTAGCTATGTATCTAGTTGAAGTTGCCATGCTGTCTAGAAGAAGTTTTCTATTAGGTTCATGTTCTTGTTGTTGGTTGTGCTAGGTGGAATCCTTTGGTGGAGCTGTAGTGGCCGTCCGGGTGCTGATCATTGCCATAGCAGTTGTAGTTGGAGCTCTTCTCTTTTTTTTCTTTCTAGAGTCGTTGTTGGATCTCTCCTTCTTTTCTATTTCTAGATTCATGTTTCAGAATTGTGCTAGTTAACTGAACAAATTAGCTTGTTACAATTTGATGGAGCAAATTAGCTTGTTACAATTTGATGGAGCAGAAAGATTCTAAATATGAGAAGTCAGCCAGGATATATTTGTTTTGATCAGATTGTGAGTTGCGATCAAGGGAATGAATGTATTTATCAGTACAATAGCCCATCTGGGTTTATCTTTAAAAAAAAAATGAAACGGTTAAATATAATGAACATAATTAATTAAAAATAATGGTAAAGAAGATGAAAAGATGAGAAGATGGAAGGTATAGAGAGTAAAGTGACATTTTTTATTATGAAATTGATGAAGGATCAAAGAAGATGAAAAGAAATCGTTATGGTAAAAATAATTAATTAAAATATTATGATTAAAGAAATGAGAGGGCTGAAAAAGAAAGAGATCTGATTTTTTTTTAAAAAAAAATTAAATTAATCAAAAATGTATAAACAGATAGTTTGGATATATGTGGAAGATACCACCAAATTAAAGGTTAAGTATATAAAAACTTTATTTTTATATATAGATTGGTGATGATAATCACCAATAGTAATAAAAGTTTTCTTTCAACTATTCGTTTCATTCCTTTGTTTTATTTTAACTCTTCTATACAAAATCTTTTTTCACAACTTTTCAATTTGTATGATTTTTTTTAAAAAAATAAAAATAAATAAAATTGGATGGCCCCAGCGAGAATCGAACTCTCGACCTCCTGGTAATAACCATCTCCCATCCTAATCCCCTAACCACTCCATCCAACCCTCCCACCCCGTATGATTCTCTCTCTCTCTCTCTCTCTCTCTCTCTCTCTCTCTCTCTCTCTCTCTCTCTCTCTCTCTCTCTCTCTCTCCCCCTTTTTTTTTTGTTTATTTATTGTTCCTTGATTCTTGTTTTGTAGTTCTCATTTTCTTTGTTTTCATGTATAAAATCGAATCTCATGAAAATTATAACGATTGATGAAGTAAAACTTTCTAGAAAATCCAAAATACAATGTATGAGTCTTATAGAGAATAATTAAAAGTATTTATGGCATGTAGATATGCAGTCATATATCGACTATATGCTAAAATTGGGTCCATTTGTTTTTATATAGAGGAATAATTTTTTACTATTTGTATATTTGCTTATAAATGTCATGTTTTACTGTTGGTCAACTAAATTATTTTCATATAAGAGGATCAGAAACTTTTTTCTTTCTTGTTTATAATACATTTAATTTTGTTAATGAGACTTAAACCGATCTAAAGTTAAATACTAATAATTATTGAGATATAAACAATTAAGTAGGTGTGTTTAGATTTTTTTTTTTTTTAATGAATGGAGGTTGGGATAATGTTCAGGTTCCAGTTGGCTCTAGAAAACTCAAGGGGTCTACCCAAGAGGTATATTTCGAGCCAACCAGTACTAGATAGTACAATGCACCCAAGGAGTATATCCAAGGGATGGACATATATACTATCTAGTTCTCTAGTATCATCCCTCCCTTAATTTTTGCAAGGGAAGAGTATGGTCATACCCTTGCTTGTTACAACAAGTATCTATTTTAATATAACTCGCAAGTAAGAAAACTATATTTGGTCTAGAAGTACAAGACCCCTAACATATCTAGGTAATCCTTCTAAACCATTATATGTTTTTGAGCTGCCAAGCGATGCCAATCCTGCCAAGCTATCCGCGACCGCATTAGCTTCCCTGTATATGTGTGATATCCTGCAAGACCACCTATCCATAATCAAGTGAATCTCCATGATCTGATGATAAAATTTCCAAGAAATCTACTTCATAGAAACCAGCGATTCCACCAATGCCCTATTATCCGTTTGAATGTCCACCATCTCTAAACTTAGCTGCTCACATTTTCTGACCCCAAACAACATGCCAAACACTTCCGCTCCAAAGCTATCCTCGCCTCCAAGATAACCATTTTCGCCATACAAATTAAATTGCCATCATGCTTCCTAATTGCAAAACCGTACCCTGAGTCTGTATTTACCAAAGAGCTGTCAGTATTAAGTCTATACCCTTCTGCGCGAGCTGCCATCCATTTGACTGTAATACAATGACACTTCTTAATTCTTTTCAATTTGAATCCAAAAGCCTGCTCAACAAAGTTCCTCTCCTCCACATTTCCAGCTTTCAAGTCATGAACAGACAAAACATTCCGGACTCCTTTCTCAATCTCTAAAATTGCCCTTCTAAAGTCAAAGCTCACTCCATCAAAACAAACCCTATTCCTATACTTCCAACCTCCCATAAAATGATGATGGTAATACATTAATTAGGGTCTTTTGCAGTTTCAAAGTTGCCCTTATTCCACCATTTTAGCAAAACTCCCAACAAAGTTGCCTCTTTAACAATTGGAACTTGGAAAACTTGTGCAAAATATTCCCAAATCTCCTTAACCTCCTCACAGCCCAAAAAACAATGATACATAGCCAAAAAAACAATGATACATATTGTCTTCATGCATTTTACAAAATAAATTCATTGAAGGTCTGACATGAATATCCAAACGACATAATATTTCTGGAAAAAGTACCAACAAGTTTTGCAACCTCCAAACAAAAAAGGATACCTTTAACGGAATAACCTTGTGCCAAAGTTTTCTCGCAAAAGGATCCTCCAAATGCCTTCGTTGCAAGCTCAAGTAGGCTGATTTTTTGGTGAAATCGCCCGAAGTTATACACTGCCAAATGAGTTTATCCCGCTCATCATTCAAAACAAAATCCATATGTGTCAGTTTTTGCCTTACAATTGGACTCAAAAATCCCTGCAAATCAGACAACAACATAATCTTATTAGAAAAGAAATCATGAATTGTCAAGTTTGGCATTATCGGCGGGTCATCAAGAGACTCCCAAATCACCCCATCCGGCACCCAATTATCAAGCCAAAAAGATCTATCTCCTCACTGAACCAAGACTTTTGTATGCTGAATTGCCTCATGTTCCACCGATTTGATTCTAATCTAAGTGGTTTTCTGCCAGCCTCTGAAAGAGATAAAACAAATTTACTCCACAACCCTTTTTCTTGTTTTACCTTCCACCATAGTTTACACGAAAAGGCCTGTACACATCTTGAAAACGACGCAAACCTAACCCATTTTCTGAAGTAGGGAACGTTAAACGATCCCAAGACCTCCAATCCTTGCGTTTCTCCTCATTTGAGCCTTGCCAAAGAAACCGTTGATACCTTTTCTCCATCTGTTTGAAAATTGAGACAGGAGGACAAATCGCTGAAATAACATGTAATGGGATTACCGACAGAATATGCCTTAGAAGAATAAGCCTTCCTCTCGGACTTAAAAATCTATTTTTCCAGCTTGCCAACTTCGCATCAAGTGAATCCAGTAAGAACTAAAAAGTAGAAGCTCTTTTCCTTCCTTGAAACAACTTACAACCCAAATACATAAAAGGAAAAGACCCTTAACCATCTCCAAAGTGCTCTTAATAATCTCCACTCTTTGTGCGCAACAAGACTCCGCCACAAGGAAAAACCTTTTTTGTCTATTCCTTTTCTGACCCGACGCTATCTCATAATCATCAAAGACAGCATTCAGCACCCTCAATGACCTCTTTTCACCTCTTGTGAAAATTATTAAGTCATCCGCAAAGTTAAGGTGCGAAACCAGTAAAGACCCCGCAGGAGTACCATAAGTCGCCAATTTTCCAGCTTGAACCAAATACATTAGACGTCTTGTCATTGCATCAGCCACTAAGATGAATAGATATGGCGAAAGCGGATCTCCTTGCTTTATTCCACGAGATGAATTAAAGAAGCCAGCTGGAGTACCATTTACTATCACTGAGAACCAACTACCTTGCAAATTATTCATAATCAACAAAACAAAATTCGGCGGAAACCCTAGCTTGAGCATCACCTTTTCCAAAAACTTCCAAGAGACTCTATCAAATGCTTTCATCATGTCGACCTTTATTACCACATTATTACCAACCACTGTGCGAGTAATGAATTAGCAAAGGTCCGATGCCAGGACAACATTATCAACAATATCACGGCCCTTCAGAAAAGCAGATTGTTCCTCCGAGATATCTTTGGCAATAACCTCTTTAGACGTTTCGTTAATACCTTAGTAAAAATCTTATTAAGGAAGTTACATAGGCTTATTGGACGGAAATCTGAAAATGTGGTAAATGAAGGCTTTCTTCGGGATTAAAGTAATCAACGTACTAGCTATAGCTCTTGGGATTAGTACTCCACTCATAAATTCCCTACAAGCTCCCATCAAGTCATCCGCAATGACTTCCCAACAGGACCTATAGAAAGATGCACCAAAACCATCTACTCCCGGAGAGCTATCTTCATCAAGGGCAAACACCGCATGTTTCACTTCATCCATTGTCACCATGCGAACAAGCATTTCCTTCTCATTCGATCCTTGCTCATCATGGAGATGTTGCAAAACGATCCCTTGTTTCCCCTCTAGGTGTTGCGGTTCCTCATCAGCCCTCAATAAATTTTGGAAAAAAAGCCACTGCTTCACATTCAATCTCCTTAATCTCTGATAAACATCGACCATCCTTAGTTTGGATTTTTTGAATACTCATTCTCACTCTTTTTTCCGCCAACGTTGCATGAAAATAAGAAGAGTTTGAGTCCCCTTCCTTCAGCCATTTCAAATGCACCTTAGAAATCCTCATGTTCTTTTAGCTTTTGCAACAAGTGAGCATTAGCCATATTGAGATTAATTCTATCCACCATCTCACCAGAATGATCAAAAGCAATTTCCATGTCGCGCACCCTATCCTCCGCAAACTTTAAATTCTGAAAAACATCACCAAAATGCTCCTTATTCTACTCTTTAAGCTTCATTTTCAATCTGCAGAGTTTTGTTGAAAAGCCTAGCATTCTAAATCCTCTGACCGGCTGAGACCAACTCTCCTTGACTACATCTTTAAACTCCAACCTTCTAAGCCACATTTGTTGAAACCGAAACAAGTTAGGCTTACTTTCAATCTGAGCATCAAATTGAAGAAGAAGTGGACAATGATCCGATGTGGTTCTGCTTAGATGTTCAACCAAAACCCTAGGAAACATATCCAACCACTCATTGGTAAACAGAATACGATCCAATCTCTTGTCTACCCAACCAGTACTCCTAGTCTCTCCCCAGGTAAACTCGTCTCCAATTGGAGTTGTATCAAACAAACCAGTCGACTCAATTATTTGATTAAACTCATCAATACCACCATAATCCTGTACCGAAGACCCAGAGTACTCTTCCAACGAGTGAATTACATTAAAGTCTCCATGAACCACCCATGGCGAGTTAGGAAAAGCATCCCTGAAAGTTTCCAAACTGGACCAAAGTGGCCTTCTATCCACTTTATTCGACTTAGCATATAGGGATGACAAGAGAAATGTTTTTTTGAAGAGGAACATAACCAACTTCAAGATGGAAAACCTGCTCCTTATCATCCAACACATTAACCGTAAAAAGCTTACTACACATAACCCAAATCTTACTTGTAGAAGATGAGAAAGCCAAATCAAAGCGCAGCTCTCTCTTGATTTCCTCCAACTTATGAACCGGAAGCATTGACTCGAGAATCAGCACAAGCGAAACCCGAAACCTTTGGATAAGAGTTCGAAGCGATGTTGCGACGCTTGACTTTCTATTCCTCTAACATTCCAAAATATAACAATAATCATTAAATAAATTCATAAAAAACACACTACTGAAGTCGAGGGGACCGCTGCAACTCAGCCCCTTCCAATTGTTTAGCACGAGCCTCCTTCGTTTTCTGGCCACGCTTCTTCTTGACAGTACGTTCCCCTTGCTCATTTTCAGTTACTAGCGCATCATCTTTTTCACGTTCTGACCACTGACCTCCACCCTCTTGGTCTTCATTATCATCTTGGTTGTCCATCTCAAAGGAGTCATCCGGAAACTTACCAACCACCGACTGCAACACGCTTGCTAAAACAACATCAGTAATCGAGTCATTTGAAGGAGTAGCAAACTTGTCATCCACTACAGTTATCGTTTCTAGAGCTGATTCATTCATCAAAGCAGCTAGCTTATCTCCTTGAACATCATTACCTTCTGTATACACATTCTCAACTTCGTCTTCCGTCTCAACTGTCAGATCAACTTCACCGTCGCACATATCTTGTAGCTCCGAGAATCTGTTTGTAGTTGGGGCTGGAATAGAGTTATGCACATTAACTACATCAATCTCATTCTCATTTCTTTCAGGGGATGGCTGCAAATCAACAATAATGGTTTCCTTCTCTGCGGTAGATAAACCAGACGTCGAACCCTTTAGTCACGCATCTAGGGTTTCCGCAAGCTGCGACAAAGTATCTCGTGCAGCTAGGGTTTCCACAGGTGGTTTAGGATCATGCGATGTGGGCTATTGCAATTCAACACCTTTCGCTATCAGAGGATCAGTAGAGATAATCTCCACATCTAGGGCTTGCTTATCAGTTTTATCAGTCCCAACTTTGAAATTCCATTTTGGCCTAGCCGGCGCAATCTTGATTTCCTTCTTCTTAACAACATGCGCCTCAATTGAGTCGCGACCTTTGTTCTGCTGTAAGGGTTTCCCCATCTGGCATTCTTCATTTTTATGACCGATCTTACTGCACTTAACACAATAAGATGTCACATGTTCAAACGTGAACCCAATATTCCAAAAAGTACGTATCCAACATCTTTGATAATCTTCTTCTTGTTCAAACCGGATCAAAACATGCCTCGGATTTATTAAACCCAAGGTATATCCACCATTGAAGCCGATTTTCCCCTTTGTAAAATCTACCGAAACTACCCTTTTTTCTCTCTACCGAAAAAACCCTAGCAAAGACGGCAAATTGGTGGATCGGCCTCCATGGCTGGCTCTCATCCGCTGGCAGCTCACCATGATCCGCCAAAAACATTTGCGAGTTTCTTTAAAAAATTTTTAGATGGCCCAATGGCTAAAGATTCCTTAATAAAGAATGTGAAGTTTATCAACGGAACTCCAACTTTGGAGTTTGAAGATGACGAATTCGAAAAATTGGTAGCCCCCATCGCTTGAGTTTGGTTGGAAAATTCTCATATGGGAGACCAAAAATGGAGGAAGTGTATAAGAAAGTCAAGGTGTGTTTAGATTAACATTTTAATACATCTATTTTTCTTACCATTCGTGATGTATATATTATAACTATTTACTAAAACTATTAAACAAATTTTTTTTTATCAATCTATTCCATCTTTATTTGATTTTTAATATTTTTTCTATTTTCTAAACTTATAAAATATGATGTTACAGAGCACGTGCATAGAGTGTACCAATTAACCATAATGACTGTTTAATTTATTTTTTTTTTTTCGGTCACACTGGACAATCATTTAGCGACGGAGAAAATAAAAACTAAAGGTTGGATTACTGGCCTTGTGCACTATCATTGGCCTGCTAGTCTTATTGGCCTTGTGCATCTTTGTTAACCTCGGAAGTTTTTTATTTTTTTATGTTTTATTTTTGAAATGAACCTAGCAAATTAGTCGTAATTTGCATGGACGTCATTAGTCGTCTGTTTAGTTGGGTATGTAGATTTACAAACATAAGATCGTTATGGATGTGTAAAATTTTTGTACACAAGTAAAATAGAACACACTGTATTATGCTCTCTCTGTCTCATAGTTATGTAGTTTGGATTTTAAATTTTGGTAAAATTTTTTGTACCTAAAATTAATTTTCTAGAGAACAATTGTTCCTAAAGATGGAATATATTGGATAAGGAAGAATTATAATTGGCCAGTGATTACTTGAAAAGGAACTCCTCGCATTTGACCTAGGTTCGATTCCCCTGGAGTGGGTTGGCTGAGGGATTTTGGGAGGATTTGTGTAGTGGGTAGTGAGGTAGTAGAAAAAAAAAAAAGGATAAGAACAATTAACTCCGAGTTATATTTCGAAGACAATTATTTCCTTGACATTTTCTGTGAGGACAAAAACACCTCATTGACGGAGACAATAGACAAAACGCCCCTTCTGCACAATTTTCAGTGAGAAATTGTGTATGATGTAAGCAAATTAAACTGTGTAAAGTAAAAAACGTCCTTTACAATTACTATAAATAAAGAATTTTAATTATAAAAAATTACCTATGTAACTATTTTTCTTAAATTCGTTGCCCACTTTCTTTTCTCTTTCCACTTCCAATATCTTCACATGATTAAAATCCTATATCAAGGAAAATCTCTTATTTTCTGTTGAAGGCTATCTTGGATTCAAGATTGAGTTTCTTCGTCGAAAGAATTTAAGAAAAAAATCTCAAACTAATTATAAAGTGGGACAAATAATTATATGCGTATCTTGTTTTATTTATGGTGAGGGAAGTAGTGGGAGTTCCATGAAGATATGATTAAGGCTATTAGTTTTCTCAATTTTATCTTTTTTTCCATGCTGAAAAGTTAGTAAGTTAGTCAGAATCGCTACAAATTTTTTTTTCGTGTTTTTATGTCTTTAGACTATTGACTTCGAGTTTGAGGGGGTCAAAGCGGGTTTTTTCATTGTAAAAAAACTCGAGTGGATATTGTTTTTGGGACTTATTTTAAAAAAAAATACTATTTATACATTGGATAAGGAAGAATTATTATTGGCCAGTGATTACTTGAAAAGAAACTCCTCGCATTTGACCAGTGATTACTTGAAAAGGAACTCCTTGCGTTTGACCTAGGTTCGATTCCCCTGGAGTGGGTTGGCTGAGGGATGGAGGATTTATGTAGTGGGTAGTGAGGTAGTAGAAAAAAAAAAGGATAAGAACAATTAACTCCGAGTTATATTTCAAAGACAATTATTCCCTCGATATTTTCTATGAGGACAAAAACCCCTCATTGACGGAGACAATAGACAAAACGCCCCTTCTGCACAATTTTCAGTGAGAAATTGTGTATGATGTAAGCAAATTAAACTGTGTAAAGTAAAAAACGTCCTTTACAATTGCTATAAATAAAGAATTTTAATTATAAAAAAATTACCTCTTAAATTATTTTTCTTAAATTCGTTCGCCACTTTCTTTTCTCCTTCCACTTTCAATATCTTCAAATGATTAAAATCCTATATCAAAGAAAATCTCTTATTTTCTGTTGGAGGCCATCTTGGATTCAAGATTGAGTTTCTTCGTCGAAAGAACTTAAGAAAAAAATTTCAAACTAATTATAAGGTGGGACAAATAATTAATTATATGCAGGAGTTCCATGAAGATATGATTAAGGCTATTAGTTTTCTCAATTTTATCTTTTCTTCCATGCTGAAAGTTAGCTGGAATCGCTACGAGTTTTTTTTTTTCATGTTTTTATGTCTTTAGACTATTGACTTCGAGTTTGAGGCGGTCAAAGTAGGTTTTTGTCATTGTAAAAAAATTCGAGTGGATATTGTTTTTGGGACATATTTTTTTTTTAAACAAACACTATTTACACATTTTCAACTACTACACAACTTTCGAATAAAAAAAAAGAAAATCTCAAATATTGATTACTAAAACACAGTCAACTCTCCAGTACTGTTGAAAACTCTGTTCTGTATTTTTGAACTCAAAAATTTACTGTGAATTCAATTGTATTTGTATCCCATACTTTCTTTATTCAATATTCAAAGAAATGAAAAGTTTGGTTTATTTTTTCACTTTTCCAGTTTCCCTCCCTCCCTTCTCACAATTCCAAAAACTCTGAAAAAAAAGACTCAGAGCGGAACAGAGGAGAGAGAAAAGAGAGGGGCCATTTCGGAGTTCCATTGTTGATCCCTCGTACGTTTCTCCTTCTAGTAATTCTCTCACCAGTCTCATCTTCTCAAATTCAAAGGTTAACCTTCAAACCTTCTTCTTCCCACTTCCCTCTCCTTTTTTGTGTGTGTGTGTGTGTGTGTTTTTTTTTTTGGTCGTGTTTCGGGATGATGGTCTTAGAATCAAAATTGGGTTTTGGGTTTTTGTGTAACAATGTTGGTTCGTTGAACTTCAATAGTAACTCTGGGGTTTATCTGCGTAAACCCTTCTGATTGCATTTCGAATTCTTGTTGCGGCTTAGTTATTGTGACTATTTTTTATTTTATTTTATTTTATTTTTGTTGTTGGTGTGATTTTGCAAGTTGGTGTAGGGCGAATTTTTAGCAGTTGCACATGTTGCATGTTGGAAATTTTTGGATAATCGTTTGTGGGTTTCATTTCTCTTGGTTTTTGCATTGCTCTGTGATTCATCAAGATTAAAAGGTCCAAAAGCTCTCTTCTTTAATATTGTTTTTTTTTTTTTTACCAATTTTCTTGGTAGTCTTAGTTAGTGACAATTTGATCCCCTGGGTTTGTGGATTTCTTTTGGTTCTTGACAAAGTCGCTAGAAATTGAGCTTCTGAATTATTTTTTGTTATTTGGAATTCAAGTTTTATTAGTCCCTGACCGTTATGGTCCGTGCTCTTTGAAACGTAGTTGAATTCTGTTTCTTTGAAACTCTCGTTACAGTGACTCTGATTATCAATCAAAACTACGGTAGTTTTTGTTTCTTTGAGGGATGTTTAATATCTGATTGTTTGAACGCCAATGTGCTACCGTTGTGGCCTCATAGATGTTTTTTTTTTTCTTTTTAATTTTTTCTTTGTCATTCTAAATGCAGTCACTACCGTGTGCATTCTCGTTCTTATTAGCGGATGAACATGTGTTATCAATCTTTTAAATTTTCGTTTGTGATGTTTTCTAGAGGTGGAACATCCCTGAAAAGGCAGTACTCATCTGTGTATTGCTTCCTTAAATGCTTGGTGTTACCGTACAACGTGAAAGGGCCAGGCAGACTTTATGTTACTATCTTTTTTTTAGTTGCTGAAGTGTCGAGCTATTTATTATGCCTTTTGCAGTTGAATGCTTGACATGTCAATGTTCACCTTTTCTCTATCTTTCAATGAATGACTTTGGAGGGGGTTTGTTTCTAATTGTACTTGTATCTTTGGTTTCAGTGGAGAGTCTTAACTTTAGAAGCATTCAGTTCCGATGATTATGTATTTTTTGTTGTAGTCCTGAATTCTAAGTGACGAATGGAAATGGATGGCGTCGACAATGATGATTCACAACCTGCAATGAAGGATGGAATAGACAAGGATGATTCACTGCCTCTGATTGTAGAGATTGTTGAGGTTAAAAAGCCTAAACGCATTGTAGTTAGTAGGCCAGGGTTTGGGACATCTGGGCGAGCTATATCATTACTTACTAACTCCTTCAAAGTTGCTGTCAAGCATCCTGATCAGAATTTCTATCAATACAGTGTATGCTTACCCTTCCCATGATTTCATAAACTTGTTGTCTGATACCATCTAATGATCTAATCTGTAGTCTGGTCGCCTTGCATGCAGGTATCTATAAAATCGGAGGAAGGAAAAACTATTGAGAACAAGAGAATTAGGAGAAAAGTTATTGATAAATTATATCAAACATATTCTTCTGAACTAGATGGGAAAAAATTTGCATATGATGGAGAGAAAACTCTTTACACTGTTGGACATCTGCCTCAGAACTACTTTGAGTTTACATTAGTTCTTGAGGAGGCTGTGGCTAAACAGTAAGTTGAACACCGGTTGAGTTATATTCCTTTAACATGATGCAGGATGTATCTTCCTCGGCGCTTTTTTTATATGGTTCTTTTTTTCACTTTTCAGGGGGAGTCCTTCAAGTGCTGGGAGTCCGACTGAGACTAATAAAAGGACAAAGCTTGTTCTACAATCCAGAAAATTTGAAGTGGGAATTGCATATGCTGCAAAAATACCCTTAAAATCCATCTCTCTTTCCCTTGAAGGAGCTGAAACAGCGGATCTTTCTGATGCACTAAGAGTTCTTGATACTGTGCTGAGGCAGCAAGCTGCCGATAGGTATAGCTGTGGCCTTCTCTGTTATAGTCAACTTCAAGGATCTACTTAGCATTCACTCAAAAAAAAAAAAAAAAGTAGCTACATAGCAAAAACCTAACTGTTACTGTTTGTAGGGGTTGCCTTTTGGTCAGACAGTCGTTCTTTCATGATGATTCGAGGTTCTTTGATGATCTTGGAGAAGGTGTTACCAGTTGTCGAGGATTCCACTCAAGCTTTCGACCAACTCAAGGAGGCTTGTCCTTGACCATGGGTATTATGCAAATCTCTTACTGTCTAAAAGTATTGCCCATGAAAGTATATCCAAAGGAAATAACATAGACAGAAACCTGCAAAAAGGGTTTGGAAGGCAATAGAATACAATAGGATGACAGATTATTGAATTAATTCCCCATCTATTAAAGAATTGAAAATGTATATTTTCTGATTGCTGTCTCAACAATAAATTGTTAGGGAAGTGGTTGGCACATATGTAAAGATCTTTGTTGAGTAGCAAGACTAAATACAACTTAACTTTTCATTAGATAATGGAAGAAAGCATGGCTCTTACATACTTGCATGCATATACAAGGAAGAGTTTCCACTTGTTCTGCTCATTTTGGGAGGATCGAGACTAGTGTTACCTTGTTGACTGTTGGTGTTCATTCATTCCTGGGTATAGCTCCAGAGTTTTTGGGAAGGATCTGCTAATTAATGCTTTTAATTTCTTTCTATAGATGTTTCTACAACAATGATCCTGACACCTGGACCAGTAATTGACTTTCTTCTGGCCAATCAAAATGCCAAAGAAGCTCGTTTTATTGATTGGGCAAAGGTAGATAACTTGCGGGTTGTGCATTTATGTTTTGCCTTTCTACATTGATGCTGTTGTTGATCCATATCGTGACCCTTCATATTGGGGTAAAGGCTTGTTATTTTTGTTGTTGGTTGTTGTTCGACATTGATGCCTTTAAACTTCTACAGGCAAGGAAAATGCTGAAAAATATAAGGGTAAGGGCAACACACAGCAAGAAGGAATTTAAGATCACCGGTTTGAGTGAGAATCCTTGTGATCAGCAACTGTAAGTGCTTATCAGATAGCGTTGCTTGTTAGTTTAGGATGCACCCTCCGACCAATGATGAAGTCTGTTTTCATCTTTTCTTGTAGTTTTTCTATGAAATTGAAAAATAATGGTGGCGATCAAGATGGAGTCGAGACTACTGAGATTACTGTTTATGATTATTTTACAAAGATCCGAAACATTAAACTTCTTTCCTCAGCATACATGCCATGCATCAATGTCGGAAAGCCTGAACGGCCTAACTATCTGCCTATGGAGGTGTGTAGAACTCATCCGCTTGATTTATCTTCAATCCAGTACTTTATCATTTCAAAGTGGAAGTTGTTCTTCCTACTTTAATTAAATTTCTAATATACTTCTTCCTCAATGCTAGCTTTGTTCATTAGTTTCTCTTCAAAGATACAAAAAAGCTCTATCCTCGACGCAACGGGAAACTTTAATTGGGAATTCCAGGAAGAAGCCTCCTGAAAGAATTCAAGTTATAATGGATGTAAATATCCTTACCTGATCTCACCTTTTTCCCCCTAAAATGGATTTCCTCCACCCACCTGATCTTGCTGGTGCAACATTATGTATTCCTTATTAACAACTTTCTTGAACTTGGCAGGCAAAAAGAAACTATGGCTATGATGATAATCCTCTCCTCTCTGCCTGTGGCGTCTGCATTGAAAAGCAGTTTAGTGAAGTTAATGGCCGTGTCCTTGAGGCACCGAAGGTAAACTTCTTATGCTCTCTAGAATGTATATTAAAGTTTTTTATTGCATTTTGTCTTACCAAATTGTGTCGGTTGTTTTTTGAAACTGCAGTTGAAGGTTGGGGAAGGCAAAGAGTTTCTCCCTTGTAATGGACGGTGGAACTTTAACAATAAGGTTTGTTCATGTCCTTCTACATTTAAGGGTTGAGGTCATCCCTTTGCTAGTTGCAAATGCAAGGGTTTAGTAGCTTATGCTGCCTCACATTCTACCTGTGCTGGCGTATAAATAATTCTTCCCTTTCCAACAAACTTATCTTCTTTTGGTTGGATGGGAAGGGGCAGAGAGAAGAGATAAAGATTGCTTGATTTCATCTGTTTTGCTTGCTTATATCTTGAATTTATAATTTTCTCAATCAAATCTTGAAAAAATAGTTACTGATACACATCTCTCCTTGTGAAGAAACTCTTAGATCCCACCAAGATAGCACATTGGGCAGTTGTCAACTTCTCTTCCAGCTGTGACACCAGTTATCTCTCCCGAGAGCTCATCAATTGCGGAAGAAAGATGGGGATTGTATGTTAAGCAGTATATCTAATTTTGCCAAGACTTACCACAAACTTGTGCTAAAATCGGTCCCTTGGTTTTGTTCCAGCATATTGAACGACCTTTTTCCTTGATAGAGGAAGCTCCACAAAATCGAAGACTGAGCCCTATAACACGAGTTGAGAAGATGTTTGAGCAGCTTATGTCAAAGCTCCCTGAACCTCCTGAATTTTTGCTATGTGTGTTGCCAGAACGGAAAAATTCTGAATTATATGGTATTTTAATCCCCTAACCCCTATTCCATTTCTGTTTGAATTCTTAAAGACCTTTTCTGATAAGTTCTATCCACATCCAGGTCCTTGGAAGAAAAGGAATCTGAGCGATCTTGGAATTGTCACTCAATGTGTTTCACCCATCAAGATTACCGATCAATACCTAAGCAATCTGCTTCTTAAAATTAATGCTAAGGTAATTGTTTATACGAGAAGATACAAGCTGTGGTTATCTATTTGACTCAGTTGTGTAACGTTTCTTTTTGTATCTTGTTATACAGCTTGGAGGCATCAATTCATTGTTGTTAATAGAGCGCCCCTCTCGTTTTCCATTTCTCAAGGATACTCCAACAATGCTCTTGGGAATGGACGTCTCTCATGGATCTCCTGGCAGATCTGATGCTCCATCAATTGCTGCTGTAACTATGCCACCTTTAAGCACCTTTCTGAGTTTAATCTTTATTCAGTATTGCTTATTTTTGCTGTTCCATCTATGCTTATTTTTCTAGGTTGTTGGTTCTAGATCTTGGCCACTGATATCACGGTATGGAGCTGCAGTACGCACCCAACCATCAAAGGTGGAAATGATAGAATCCTTATTCAAACCTTTGGCAAATGGGGAAGATGATGGTATAATGAGGTGAGTCGTTTTGAAAATATCCTTCAGCCAATTATCTGTGTGAAAAGTTAGGGGCTCTTCAGAAAACTGAATATTTTCACCTGTTGATAATATACAGGGAATTGCTTGTGGATTTTTACAGTTCAAGCGATGGGCGCAAACCTGCTCAGATTATTGTCTTCAGGTAGATCTGAGGCACTTGTTGATATTATACAATCTCTACTCACTCTTTAGCACTTTGTATATCCAAAAATCTTTGTTTGGAGGGGGAGGGGAAGGAGACTGGGTGTCCTGCATTCTGCATTCGCAATCTGCAATCTTTAACCAGAAGCATCCTCCAAAAGTTGAAAACCTAACCAGAAAATCAATCTTGAGTTTCTTAATTGGAGGGGAAAATTGCAATGTGGACTTTCTTAATTTCCAGTTGTGCAGGCAATTGTCTGACAGTTTCTGGAATATAGATTTCTATTTTTATATTTGAGTGATTCCAGTTTTCCTCGTTTTAACGTTATGAAAGCTTTTTTTTTTTGTCCATTGCAAATGGAGCTGGAAGAGTCATTGACAATTCTTTTAGCTTCATGTTTATAGGGGACTAGATCAAAATGGCTCAATTAATTATAGTGCTGCTTAATTTTAGTGAAGTTGCTGGAAACCGATACATCAAATGAAATACAGGGGCAAGACTGCATAAATCTTGACCCTCCAGACCCCAAGGAAGTTGGGAATATACTGGGTATGTTCTTGTGGTTGATGCTACTGGTGTTGTTAGGTTAGGAAAGCTTTTCAGTAACAAGGCTTATGTTAGTGATTTTGGTAGAGATTTTACCCTATTTTTGTGGATTGATTTCAGTTGCGAGTTTCGATATCCTGGTTTCCTTGTTCATACATGTAACTTTATTTTTATGGAGATCAAGATGTTTATGTGGTTAGAAATTGCCTCTTTTCCTGTCAACCTTGCCTGACCATTAGGATTTATTTTATCTTCACATGTCTAGCAAAACATAGGGGTTTTTTTTTTCCCCCCCTTCAAAGGGATCAATAGTGGTAATCACAGAGTTTCTTAACTATAAATATTATCATTCTCAGAGATGGAGTGAGTGAATCACAGTTCAGTCAGGTTCTGGATGTTGAGCTTGATCAAATGATAAAGGTACTTAAGTTCATGCTGACATGCTGCCACATCTTTTATTCAAGAAATTCTGGTGTAAATCAACCTGGCTTGTTTCTTGTAATTGGCCTTTACATTTTTCCAGAATCATAATAATGCTTCCATGTGATGAACATCTCTGCTATTTTCATAGATCTCATGCTGTAGGGGCAGGAAGCAAACTTGATTTCATTTGTCCTTGCTGGGAATTATCCAGTATCCAAATTTGACGCTGTGCTTTACTTGGATGTTCACTCATTACAGGCATATGCGCATCTTGGTGAGGTTGACCTCCCAAAATTCACTGTGATTGTGGCTCAAAAAAATCATCATACCAGGTTCTTTCAACGGAACGCACCTGATAATGTCCCTGCAGGTCTGTCTATGGTCTTACGTCTATGTGTTTTCTATGCTTCACATGAATCTCTTGAAAATTTTATTCCCAGGTCTATGTTTCTGCTACTGTTATTTCACCGTATACATCTTAATGTAAAAGAGAAATATATGTAATCAACCCAATGTAGGTACTGTTGTGGACAAGGATGTAGTGCACCCGAGAAACTATGACTTTTACATGTTTCCTCAAGCTGGGATCAAAGTAAGTTCTACTTGCAGTTTGATTTACATAGTTTAATGCTTTTCCTTCTAAAGGCAATTAGTGGGATGACAAAATTTTCCTTTTACCCAATTTGAGACTTACCATCTGCTGATCCAATAGGGAACTTCTCGGCCCGTTCACTATCATGTCTTGCTTGATGAGATTGGTTTCTCTCCGGATGAGCTACAGAACCTCATACATTCACTCTCTTATGTGTAAGAACTATTGTGTTATACACCTAGTCATTTACTGCCTGTCTTACTTTACAATGTGTACCATAATGTTCATTTTGGTGTTGTAGGTATCAGAGGAGTACAAGTGCAATTTCAGTTGGTATTTTCCTTTTGCCTTACTATATATATATATATATATCTTGCTTTATTTTGTGAAACAGAGACCATAACGTTTGACTTTTCCCATGAAATGCACCCATAATTAGCTTGTAATGTGTGAAGAAGGCTAATCTGCACATGTTGGGTTAATGCAGCCCACTAATTTCAATCTGTTTTTGCTGTAGTGGCTCCTATCCGTTATGCACATCTTGCGGCCAAACAGATGGGGCAGTTCGTAAATTTTGAGGATCTTTCTGTAACTTCTTCGGAGCAAAAGTCTGAGATCACATCAGTCGGTAGCAGGCCTATTCCAGAGCTGCCGAGGCTAGACGAAAGAATTGCAGGATCGATGTTTTTCTGCTGAACTGATAGCGAATTTCTGACTCCATGAACTATTTACTGAGGTGAAGGTGCTAAAGGGAGACCTGGGTTTTCATTCTGATGGGATGGTGTTAAGATGTAAATATGAAAGCGACCCTCTTGTATAGGTCTAGACTCTTGAAGTCCAACAATCTGGTGGAGGGTTTAGAACTTTAGATGAGTAAATGTGGAAGCTAATTATCTTTAACTTTATGGGGGGAAATGGGGAAAATTTTGTCAAACGAACAAACAGCTTAAGAAGGCATCTCTGGTGGCCACTAAACATAGCGGCGAACTATAATTGTGATCTATTTTGACCCATGAGGATCAAATTATTGTCTTGTTATGTCAAATCTGCTATTTCTGAAGAAGAAAAATCCTTTCAATTGAGAGATGCAAGCTCATGTGCCATTCTGCAGTGATGACAAATGTTAGTTTAATTTCATTTATCAGGGAGCATGGTCAAGAGGTTACAATTTTAAATGACTGCTAACTAGGGCTACACGATTGCATTGACAATATATGAATGAAAACACAACTATAATACAAGTGAAAAAAGAGTCAAGCAGCAAGTAGTAACACTTTAATTGTCCCCTGGCTGTTAGCAGCCAACATTGTTGGGCTATCACTTTTCCAGCATACTGCACTGATGAAGTAGGAACCTGAATCTTCATCGGCATCATCCACTGCTGGAGCGCCAAATTTATGCCAAGTTACAGGCCTCGCTATGGCCTGCGAAGACAAATGGGAAAATTACAAAATACGGATCTGATCCTTTAAATCTTCACTTCTCATATAGCACTGTGTATTTAACATTCTTTAAATCTCGATATTTCTCCTTCTAAACTTCAAATAATTGTGCATGGGCCTTATAACTAAGTGATCATCCACGTGCCAAGCTCTTCAGCAATCAGCGGAGATTAGACAAAGAAATTAAGAAGGGAAGAGGAGAAAATCTGTCTGACCTTGTGGTAGGCAAATACTTCATTTGTCTCACTGCCACAGGCAATGAATTCGTTGTTAACCGTGAGACCCACGAAGTTCTTTTCATTAGTATGCCCTCTGTATGTTCGGACCTGCAAAAACATATGCAGTTGGCAAAAGTTTAACATCCCATGCATTATATTCTCCCAAAGAAAAAAACCAAGAGCATTGCCATTATGATACGAGTTCATCTCAAACAATTTTGTTTGCGGTTTTATTTTTCTTGTGAGGTATGGTGGGGGTCATGTTCAGGAAGGGACTTACAGGTAAATTTTCCTTGACATCCCATAACCGCAGGGTGCTGTCAGTTGATGCAGAAGCAAGTTCATTATTGGAAAGAAACTTCACATATGATACTGTCTTCCTGTGACCACTGAATATGTGGAATGGCTTACTGGTGTTTCTTAAATCATAATAATGAATGTGATGGTCAGCAGAACCAACCTGCAACATGAGAAAATGTCAACCTTCGTACTATTAATAAACCAAAGAGAAAAGCTACCATTAATATCCCAGAGAAAGAAACCATCAATAGGCAAGATCTTTCTCAAGTACAGGAAATGCTATCGTAAAAGAGAAAAGTTTTATTCAAAGCACTAGTAGCATACCGCGACATAAATGCTAGAGCCGGGATTATACTTTACACAACATATGTTTGCCTTCATATCAATGTTGAGAACGCTAGCTTCCTGTTTTGTGCACCATACCTTGACCTGTAATTTCCAAAAGAAAGCAGAGTTTCACATTTAACACAAAAAGGTTGCTGAAAACATAAAAAATATAACATAGTTTCACATTTATAAAAAAAAAAAAAAAGGAAAGAAAAGAAAGAATCGTATTCACATTTATAAAAAAAAGAAAAGAAAAGAATAGTCTTCTTCAATTTTGGCGGCTGTACCAGGGTGCAGAATAAAAAGATGGGAGAAGTGCAATTGCAGTTTCAATTTGCAAAGCCCCACAGTTTTAGTTACAGCGTCACAAAGGTGACAAATTTTGGAGAATCAACAGAAGCATCCAACTCAAAGGCTACAATATTACAAAATTTCAAACAAATGTCTCCGAAATAGTGAAAACTAATGCAACCTCATGGAACTCAAAAGAGGCCATCAGCAAGTTGTCACAGTTTGCAGTTTCCAACCTTTCCTCGAAATAAAGTTTACCAAGTCGTTTTGCGAGACTTGGAAGTTACAATAATTCTCACTGGAATACTAAATTATCTCAAGTAACTAGAACCCTTATATCTCTTGCACTGGTGAGTTTGTCAACTATGCCATGAACTATTCATAATTAATTGGGATGCAGCTATTCATACTCTAACTTCCAATACATGATAATGGGCATATTATAATTGAAGTGCACATTGATAACGATTTAGAATTGAGGTATAAATCAATGATAATTTTGCCTGATTATCGTTCTGCTTGCCCATAGAAAACTTCTTACGTGCTTTGATGATGGTGAATTAAGATGCAGGAGTAGAATAGCTAGTAGTTATAGCTAGAGGAAGTAAAAATCTGAGTACATGAGTTGGGAGATGTTACTAGAGAGGCCTGCCTGCAGTTGTTACGTTAACAAGAGCAATAAATTTACATTGCAGCACTGGTAAGTCACGAAGAAAACAAGAGCCAAATCAATGGCCTTTAATTGATAAAAGATCACATTTTGTTCAGTACAACATCAGTTTGCCCGATAGTAGAAATCATTAACATGGCTAGAATTCCAAAGCCATAGAAAAAATCAGGCAAACAGCAGAAAGTGGAGGATTCATGCAACAACAGGCATGTATGGGTCAGTCTAAGTTGAGGCCGCTCAACAGGAGTAATTGCTAAAATAAAGGCATGTATATCACAAGTATACAACCAACGCTCTAAAATTTGAGCTGCAGTTGAAGGAGTAGTAATAATGTCAGAGTACCTTACAATCATCACTTCCCGATACAAGCATTGAAGGTTCTGAGCACGAAAAATCGACACTCCATGCCCGCTTTTCATGCTCTTCATATTCCATGATACTCTGATGGCACAAGATCATTTATCTCATTACAATATAACATAAGAACACCAATTTTATAACACCTCAGCTAAAGAATAAAGTACCAACTCTAATAGGAAAATTACCTGTCGCGTAGTCACATCCCAGACAGTGACTATTCCCTCATAGTCGCTACTAGCTATGTGATTTTTGTTATACTTGTTCCAGCTCAAGCAACTAAGTTTGGACCGTGTGGACATTTCTACAACAGGACAATGCACATCTGCAGGTTCATTTATTATCTATAAAAACCAAACCATATTGCAACATCAGGTGGCTGGACCAATAAGTTTTTCATATTTACAAATGCATAGTAAATGCAGTAGCAAACATAATGTCCTGAAATTAACTGTGTTGATATCATTAGCAACTACCAAATAAAGTCAAGTCACACAGTAAAAGTCCAATGAAGAGGGCTAAATTACAGGGCAATCTATCATAAGGTTTCTTATCTTTTCATTCAAAAATTAAAAAGACAATGTCCATAACATACGTTTGCAAAAGGTGTAGAGGTTGAGAGGTGATACGCCCACACCCCCCAAAAAACCAACAATCAATTATCCCTTGATGTTGAGGCCAGCTATATGGAGTATATATTCATACTGTTTCAAAACACATTTGTTCTAATTTTTTCAACAATTAATTATGTCTATAATAATTGTTTCTTTCCAATTGTTTTCAGCTCTCCCCTTTCCTCTATTAAATTGAGCTAACAATTCTGTATTTCTCTATCTTGCAGGGACATCTAAAGCATCCTACTGATATGTCCAAATCATCTTAATCATTTTTCATTTTCTCATATAAAGGCTCATATGCACATGAGAAACTAATCTTAGGTTTTAACCTTTAAAATATTTCAAAGAAATAATTCAATCCCTCAAATCCTGCCAACTGCAAATTGAGGGCACTTTATCTCCGTTTTGACGAATACTTCCGAAGTAAATTTTATCCAATCCACTTAAGAAATCAACGCAATCCAAATTTACTTGAATTAAGATATGCTAAAGAGAAAATAAGCTTCCACACAAGCACTCTTACCGAAGAGTAGTCAAAAACTTTTATCCGGCGAGAAACTCCAGCAGTAGCAAATAATTCGTCATCGCGATCAAATTCTATGCTGCAAGAGGGTAAATAGTTGTAAATAAATCATCACAATTCCCAGCTCTCTAATTGTCAATGTTATCCAATAAATAGCCTAAGGTATTCAGCAAAACTAATTTCAACAAACATGAAGATACTACGAATTGAAACCGCAATCTTTCATTAACTCGTAAAAACCAAGGAGCGCCTTCTATATCCCAGAAAAAACCTTGGGCCACCGTGACAGTCCATCCATGGTTCATATGTTGCCGTCAAGATTTGTCAATGAATATGGTCTCATTTGGGTTTAGATAAATCAACTCATTTCATTAGTTTTTTATTAATCTTTTAAGACGTTTCCTTCCTCTTTTAATTTGAGCAATTATATGACCTGTTCTCATTTATGGTTAAACATGTCATCCTTTTTCATTAATTTTTGTTTAATTCTTTTAAGAACTCCCCCTTCCTCTTCTTGAGTAAATAATTCCTTGTTTCTGAATGCCTTACTGGATTCAAAGGTCTTCTATAGGACCTACATACATATTTAAATCACCTTAAGTGTAATTCTCTCATTTATCTTATCTAATTGGGCTACCGGCCATTTTTCTGCATACATAACTAAACTACTTAATCTGGCGTGTCTGCACATATATCTAATGGGCAACCCCACTTCATATCTTCTAAAAAGGACATGATAATAATCATAATCAAATTAGTAAACAATAATAATACACAAGAAAAACAATTTCTCCATTCCTTCTGTGAAATGCATTTACCAAAAGAGGTATAATTATCAGTTCAGCAATATAATTATCAAAAGTTATCAGTTCAGCAATATAATTATCAGTTCAGCAGTCATTTGGTATATTTACACACAAATATCTAGATAGTTCACCAAAAGAGGGATAAAAATTATCGAAAGGTCCTGTTTCGAGAATCACAATCACCTTGAAACAATGTTGGCCGAGTGAAAAATATCCCCATGCCTAAATTCAGCAATAACTCGTAACCGACTGTTGCAATGAAGAAAGGGAAATATTACAGTCACAGATAATAACAATATCATATTTAATTGTTACAAGTCTTTGTAAATGCAAACTATGCAATTTTACCTGTACCGCGTGAAAGTACTTAGTACAGATCGAAAATCTGCCAGCCCAGCACTATAACCTTCTCTCAGTACTATACTATCATCCTTCTTTTCCTGATTAGGAAGCTGCTTGGCCAGTTGCCTTCTTTTTTGCAAATAGCACTCTTGTAAATCATTGAACTGCAGCCAATATCCATTCATCAGTGCAAGAAATATGGTAGCAGAGGATACAGGGTTCTGGATGACATATCTGGTATTCTCTAATCCAAAGAAATATTGAAACATAGTTTACTTTCACAAGAATCCAGCCAATTCACACATTCCACATTAAGAGCAAAATAATTTCAGAACTCCAAAAATTCAGTGCCAAATTAGTCTGTTCAAGTAGCATTTAGCAGTAATGAATAAATGATCAAGTCCTATACAGTAATCAACAAGAGCAGAAATATGTCTTGTCCGTGGAAAACCAGAACACATACTGCAAGTCTGTATCTACAAAAAACAGCGACACATGCAGGAGTGAGCTATTTAAATGGTGGCAGCAATTCTTCAAAATGCATACTCTTGAATCCAATATTTTTCATTCGAAACAAATCCACAACTTGATAAGAAAGCAAACCTGAGAAAGAACACGCTTTTTCCGTACAACGGCAAGGCCTGATTGGCTCATAGAATGTGTGTTTTGTCCAGAAAGAGAACCATCCTTCCTCTGTTGAGCAAGAGAACCAAATTGAGCTTTTAAATCCCCTTTCTTTTGCTGGAAACTTCCCGTAGTTACTCCTTGGGCACTACGAGAACTAGAAAGCAGTCCACTACTAGTTCTTTCTATGGATGAAGATTGAGACCTCATACCCAACCGATCATCAGACAGCATCTGGAGTTTCAGCGAAAACCTATCCCTTGCTCGGTATAGATCTATTCGATGCCTCTCAACAGAATTTATGTCCTCTTTAATATACTGAAGATCGCTTTGAATCTGTTTAAAAAAACGGGTTAAAATGATATTGCATTAAGGCATAGACTCAAAGTAAGTCAATTTTAAAACGAACAATTTAAAGAGGAAGGCAAGACAACTGATCTATTGGTAGAAAGCCCATTAACTGAATAGACTGTAATCAATTAAATTCCTTGAGACATTGGGTATCAAGCCCCACAACAAAGAAAACGCTAAAGCAGCAAGAGAAGAAGCAAGAGGGGAGAGTTAAAAGTTAGCAAGCACCATTTCCCAGACAAAGCACATCAAAAGCTCATGAAAAATCTCTAAGTGCACAACAAACTGAAAGGACTATGGCTATCATCTAATCAGACACCAGGTGCCACCTACCAACACTCCTACACAGATTGAAATAAGTTATTGAAAAGCAGTTGGGCCTCTCAATACTCTGGTTTCTGATCATAGTGAGTCCTTGATTCTGCCCATCCAAAAGGTATTTGACAGAACCAAAAAATCCCCCACATTCTGCCCATACTCTGGTTTCTGATCGTTTTTTGCTATAGTCAAGAAGCATCTCACCAATTATGACAAATTTCAAAACAAAGAGATGGCACAAAGGAATCACATAACATGAATCTTGATCATTTTTATATGCAAAAGCATAAAGAAACAATAACGATCACTAGTACTAACTAGAACCAAGAGCAGAAAGTGACTCAAGCAAAGTTGGACACAGCTTGTGGAGACAGAAGAAAAGGATTTTTTTTTTTTTAAACATTACTCGCTCAGATATTGAAAGTTCATTAAATGCATAAACACATAGCCTAAAAGCAAACAATAATAAGTCCATCAATGCATTGAAGACACACTTCTATCACTTCAATCTTCCTAGGGGCCTTGCTAATCAGGAGATCAGTTATAAACTACCCAAATTTCCACTATCACGGGGTTGAACAAACATCAATACATTCCAACACGGAAAAGTTTGGTACTTAATCATCAAAGATAGTGAATAGTGGCATACATCAAAATGCCATCAACCAATATATTATACAAACCTCATTAAGCTCATCAACTTTTTGCTTTCTTAAGATACTGAGGAAGTCCAGCAGAATTTGCATATTTCTTTCTGCTTCTTCCTGCTCCAGTTTTCTCTTCTTCTCTGCCAGTAAAGTCAATAGGGAGTCCAGCTCCTTAATTGATACTTCACATCCCTGTCCAAGAACAATAAATCTCGAACATCAAGAATCAAAAGATATATGGACAATGGAGAAGATACTCATGTGACATACTTCATTAGTTCAAGGTATTCCAACATTTGAAGATTGATTGCAGGGCAAAGAATCGCATCACAACTAGCATCAGAGATCACGGAAACAGTCCTTGTAAAAGAAATTTTATCACAAACCTGATGCAAGATGACATGCAAAAACAATGAAAGGATACAAAAAAAACAGAATGTTATTGCTATTCAAAATACGTAGAGTCATCTTTCATGTTTTCTAAGGCAGCCTTTTTTGATAGTTTAGAGTTTGGAAGAAAAAGATTATTAAGCTCTATTTATTTAATTTCTTCTTTAATGGGCTAGAATTTGAAATAACCCAAAACAAAACTAATCTATTTGCTGAGCCACAAGTTCTATCCAGGGCAAAAGATGTAAAGATACTTCTTGATCCAGTACGAAGTCGATGCCTCCCACCAGAAGAAAATTGAGCCATAACTTAATAAAGATATTAAACAAACAGAGCTGAACGCTTCAATCCAAGAACTTTTATCAAGCAAGAAACTTTGGTATTAAAACTTGTTGCAAGATGTAGCATGTAGAAACTCTTTCATAACTGTAAAAACACAGGACACTTACAGATGAAACTCATTTTTAATACAAGTTCCAATGGAAATCAGTCATACAGCAGGATAATGGGAAACAAAAAGAGTAATTCATGAGGAAAAGTAAAAGCCATCAATGGTTATCAGCATGCCGCAAAGTGGTTTCGCAAACAACAGGCTAGAACAAAGTAACAAACAGATAATAAACCAAGAACTAGGAAACAATGTAAATAGAAATTAAAATAGTCATTGGTCTACGACGAATAAAATTAAAAGCAGTTTCTAAATTTTAGAGTTATGAGATATCATAACTGCAGTATTACCTGCTGAAGCGATTGCTGAAACTGTTCTACCGGAGATGCAGTCTTTGATATTTGTACAGCAGATCTCTTCTTCAGTAGCTACAAATATGGTACAGAGAAACCTTATAACAGAGCTGCATGTGGAGTAAAAAAATTTCAAGAACAAATCAAATGGAGATGGAATCAAAAGGTTTATAATAGCCAACTCGCACGAAGTATTCATCTAACCGAAAATACAAGTGTGAAAGAATGCTACGGTCTTTCTGACCTACCAAATTCAGCCAAAATAGTTCAACAAGACAATCAGACAAGAAAGAACAAAAATTCCCACAATGAAAGACAGATAAAACAAAACAAACAGGAGAGAAAAATTCCTCCTATTTGAACAAGACTAATCTGATTACCTACCAATTTAATTAATTTCGATTAATCTACAAGGTCATCTTTCAGCCGGTCAACTTTTATTAACATTGGACCAGAAACTCATCATTCCATCAATATGAAAGTTGATGCAAAAAGTGGTATGGATGAACAATAGATGAAATCACCCAGGGACTTGTAATAAAAGTTTGCAGCATAACAAAGTCACTTGGCTCAACGTGTTTGGAGAATGCTAATACCAGTAAGTAAACACAATGAACAACCAAATTGTGAAGCTATTTGATGAAAAAAAGGTGGAGGAAAAATACAATGACAAAAGGAATAAGGTAAGGCCGTCTGATTTGTCTCTTTTTAATTACAGCAGATTGACTTCAGGAGAGCCATAACTGTGACTAGGATGATATCTTGGACTCCAAAACAACAGGATCGCAAAATAAAAAAATGCCTCAAAACCAAAATAAAGTTGACGATCAAACATACAATGATTCAGCAATTCAGTGACTTGCTGGAGAACTTGCTCAAATGCAGTCAGCATTTTGTTCGTAGACAAGAACTCAAACTACAAAAGCAGAGATAGAACTGAGAAATCTACTGCAAGGAATACATGATTATACCTCCTAGACTCCTAGTACACACATAGAAGTCTGCAGCGCGTAATGGAACTTACTCAAATTGGAACCTGTGTCATCACTGGGTGTGTGCTTGTCGTGCGGACATGTCCGTAAGGAGACTGGATACCTCATTACTATACCTAATTCCTAAAGAAATAGTAGGATATGGACATCTCCAATGGTTCTTAAGTTTGTATCAATCATTTGAACTACCTGGAGGAATGACTACATAGCTTAGATACTCACTAATTGAAGTTATATCGACATGTAACTAAAATAGAAAAATTCACTATTCAAATACTCCCTCCCAAAATGATTTAGTACAACACACATGACAATCATTTCCCGACGGAGGGGCATAAGTTAATAATAACAAACTACGGTATTGGTCTTTTACTCCACCACAGTACCTTAACAAACTAAACTACTAAACAGTAAGACAAAATGACATAATTCAGTACAAGAAAATAAATTTCGAAAACAGATATACAGGCAAAATTAGAGATACCTTATCAAGGAGGAAATTGGGGTAGAGCTGAGTTGGGGTGAGATATTGTGAACAGCAGGGGCAATCACTCTTGTGGTGAAGATGAGTCACTATACACATATAGCAAAAACTGTGGCCACATGAAGTCAAGAACGCATCTTTAATCATCTGCATACAAATTGGGCAAAGCAATTCCCTATCGAATCCATTATCATCCACCCCGGAGATCCCTTTATCTTCTTCCTCCTTGTAGCCATTGATTTCCCCTGTTTCCCTCTTCACAGCTGGTACTACTGCACCAGAAGAACTCTCCTCCATCGTTTACCCAACTGGATTGAGAATTCTCAGAGGGTTAGGAAATCATCAACTGGGAATTCATTTCTTCCACTCTTTCTTCTTCTTCTTCTTCTTATTGTTCACTTCCTCGAGTCTTTGTTGATGATATTCGCAGTTTTGTTTCTTTCTTTTTCCTTGTGGAGGAGGGATGGTTCCGGTGAAAAGCGATTGGTTTCTACTTTCTATATCCGGAGTAAGAAGTTACTAGAATTAGAAATATATGTAAGAAAAATGAGAAAGTAAACAAACGAAATGACGAAATCATCCATCTCACATTCTCAAGTCAACACCGATACAAGGAAGGATAAGTATGTCACTTCACATATATGTCACATTATTCATTATTCCAATTCACTGTATTTTTTTTATTTTTCATTTTTGGCTATACTAGTACTAGTATTATTTTCTTAAGAATTCATAGATTAATGGAAGAATTCAAAAAAAAAAAAAAAAAACACAAAAGATTAGTGGAAAAATTCTACAATTAGGACGTTGCTCCCTTAATGTGACAGTATGCAAAGGTGGGTATGTTCCAAGAAAGCATCAATGCTATGATAAATAAGCTGTGACTTCTGTTGTGTTACCTGTCAATTTTTATTCTACTTTATAATTTTGCTTTATTTGACAAGGTAAACATCGAAATATTATTTATCAAATGGAATTTGATCGTAATAATTACGAGATACTTCTCCCGTCGGTCAAGAAGGTTTTTTTTTTTTTTTTTTTTGAAATAGAGGGTATAATTAATCACAATTGAATTGCACTTTTGTGTTGCAACAGTCATCAATAATCATTACATTAAGATATCACTGGGGTTTGATGAAAAAAGTCCTTTCAAGTCATTCTCGTTTAAAACAAAAAAGGGTTTCCTTTCATTTGTCCCTATGCAAACTATGCATCTTGAGGATATACAATTAGCTGAGAAATCTGAAAAGTTGAAAACCTCAACAAAGCCCAAAAACCTGCAAGTATAGACAGTATAAATGCACCCACACCCTTATCTGCAACTGCATGTCATCTCTTCAGCCGTTCTGTAATCATTCCCGGCATCATGCAACCTTGCAGAGCTTCCTAGCACTTTCGACAGCCACAACAAAGAAATACAATCGCCATAGAGTAACATTGCTCTGCTCTTCTAAATCGACATGTATCTCCTCAGTGCATGGTTTATCGCGTACGATTATCTCCACTATGCGGTCCAGGTTCTTGGGAGGTAAATTCTGGATCAGTTTTTGAACCTTCTGCTTCTCAGTCAGGGTCATCGGCCTGAATTTAGACAGCAGAAGATCGGTAAATTCTTCAAGTTTCTGCTTCATTTGTTCAACCCTGTCCAAAAGTTGGGCTGAGTGTTTCTGCACCAATTGCTCAACCTTTGAACTTTCGCTATTCAGAATGAATCTTATGTCACCATCCATCTCAGCAGAAGGCAATGATTTTTGCCAGTTCAGAGCATCATGCCCTGTGTTAGCATCCTTTGGAGCTTCATGGTGCTTTGACAAGCTTTCTTCATTTCTACGGATCGATTGGAGTCGACAGATACCAATAACAGCTTTTACAATAGAATCAACTTCAGCTGAAACACTAAAAAGGCCTCGGCGAACGAGCGCAGTCAACCTTTCCTTTTCAAGGTCTGACAGCTGAAATCCCATAGGTTCAGCAAACAAGGGAACAGGGTCAACAGTTCCAGAATCACGTCTCAGATCATAGCTCTTCAAACGAATGTCGATTAGTTGGTTTTTCTTGGGAACCCCAGATTCCTTCCCAACATAATCCAACGTTTCAGAGCAAAAAGCAAGAGCACCTTCATTTTGAGCAAACAAGTCTACAATCTCACGTGATAAGAAACCAAACTGATCAGCCACAGACATTTTGTTTATAGATTGGCAATGTTCCTCAAAAGTTTCTGGCATTGCATCAGATTGTACGTCTAGTCACGTACAAGTTTCTTGACATACCATACCTACCTTTTGAACAACCAAAGAAGGTCCAGAACTCATTTTGGTGGCATGTGGAGTAGCAAAAATTGCCTGCATTTACACACACAAACCGAATTGGACAACTAAATCAGAATTGCTAGAAACAGAATGCTTACCAAAACAGAATACTTACCAAAACATTGAAATCAAATCTAAAAAGCAACAGTCAGTTGATACAAAAGGAGTCCTCTACATAACTTAATAGAGTGAAATGAAACTAGTTTTCCACACATCAAGAGAAACTCGTTAATATATAATCAAAGGATTACATGTTGCAATGTTCAAATTACTCTGACTTAACTTTGCATAGCACATAGAAGAGACACCATCCAGGTGATTCATTCATACTACAACTCCATCCACGCAAAGATTCATTCACCTTGCATAAACCAACAGTACAGAGTAAAAATGGACAGAGCAGAAAACTTTTTGGAAGCTTAGATTCAGAACTTTGTCCTTTTTAAAATAAAATCTTTCTGGTGGCATTAAATTAGAATTTCTTTCAATACCCCCCAACTACAACGCAGAAGATGCAAATGATCTAACATGCTCACTATACAAAAGGAAAGAAGTTGATCAAGACCAACCCTAAGCAGTTGCTGATCATACTAAAACTAGAAAGATGAATGCTAAAGAATCCTCGTAATGATAGTAAACACATTTATGCATCTGAGTAGATGAATTAAGATCATACTCATAAGCCCAAGCAAGCTCCCCTGCTCCACAAATAGAACCCAAAAGATGGAGTATAAAAGAAAAAACACACTGGGTACTGAGAGAAGGAAACTCCCCAATTCTTCATAACGCATTGTCACAAGACAACGAAGTACAAGTACACTACCAGCGTTGAGAAGGGAATTCAAGAGTTCCTCATACAACATCTTTATGCTCTACATGAATTACCTAAAAAAATCCAACTAGCAACAATTTGAAACTAAACAAGCCATAAGATGGAATCTTTCCAAATTCAGTTACTTAACTGGGAGTTAGCATATATAGATCCATAATGTAAGCCGCGGTCTTAATCATCCTACAGAATCTCACCAATACAATCAAGAGTGAAAATACAAACACAAGGTGAACCCCCAACAGAAACCCTCACTTTGTAATCATGCAATAAAGTTTCACAAAGACCAAAGTAAATGCATTAAAATTTTATCATAAGCCCAGATTATTTTTTTAAAAAAAAAATAAATAAAAGAAGTTACACATAATTGATCAGATAGTTTTTCTAAGCAAACTAAAGATTGTTATTTACCCTACCAAAATAGAGAACACCGTCAACCAATCCAACAAAAAAGTTTCAAGAACCAAAGTCATGAAAAATTGAGAACCACACAAGATGACATGCACATGCCCATTCCCAAATCCCAAAAACAAAAACCAGAATAGCATTAAGAAATTTTACATTTGGGGGTTTCTACGAGCAGCTCGGCGCCGTAAGTCGTTCCTTGTTGTCGTAGAGTGGAGCTGTGAACGGCGGTGAAGGTGGAACGGCCACCGGGGGGAGAGATAGGGCACGGTAAGGGCTGCGGGGGACTGTGGAAATTAGAAGGGGAGCTGTCTAGGAATGAGAAATAGAATCACCCTCGGTGTCACCGAAATAACGTTTCTCGAAAATACTCTCAACTTTTGGTTGTTTTTTCAGAATTAAATAATAATAATCGTCACGTCTTAACATATTTTTTTTACATTTTTAATACATATTTTTATATTTTTAATATAAAAAATACTTACAAACACACATTAAAAAAACGAAACAAACGTACCCAAAATTTTTTGTCAAACGCTAAACAAAATCATTATTTCTTTTTTTTTAAAAAAAAAAAAATGTTCTTATGGTAGAAACCGCATAATTTGGCAAAATATAATTTAGATCAAAATCTTATATCTTACATAATCTCAACCACTGAGGTATAGAGGATATCGACAAAGCGGAAAAACTACGAGCTCTTTATCTTAACTGATTAGATATTTGAAATTGTAGTTAACGAAAATTTACAGTTAAGTTTATCGCCACTTATAAAATATTGTCATGAAAACAAAACAGAGTCGCATATGAGATATAATGGGGAAAAAAACTTGTAAGGTGAAAATGATTTAAGATCTCTGTGAGATATCATTTCAGAATTAAAAAGAGCAGAAATTATTGTAGCCTAACGGTTTGACGATGAAAATAGCAAAGTCAAAAACTGTTTAATCGTATATGAAATATGACTAGTGATGTCTGGTCGCGCATTGGCCCATTATATCTGTAGATCTTAGAAATGTTTGTATCTGAAAAAAAAAATTTTTGTATTTGGCCCGATATATTTTAGAAATATTTGAAGAATTTAGAAATGTTTTATAAGTGTGATGTTTGTATTTGGCATAAAAATAAATTGTATTTGGCCCAGTACGTTTTAGAAATGTTTGAAGATTTTAGAAATGTTTTATAAGTATTACTTCTTAAATGTAAATAAACTTGGTCAAATATATGTCTTGAAGTAAATGCTAGACAAAATATAAACACATCCTAATAATTTTAAATATTAGTAAGATAATTTATTGATGTTCACCATTGGTTGTGCCAAATCTATACTTAGTTTTGGAGATTTATTATAGCTTTGTAGTTAGCTTCCTCCAATAGGTATACGCTTAATTGTTGGAACTATTTTTTCCAAAAGTTTATAGGTTGTAAAATATCAAAAATATGATTTTGAAACTGGTTGATTATTGAAACTGGTTGATCACAAATATGAGAATAAAAATAATGTAAATTTGCATAAGTTTCAAGATATAGCAAAAAAGAACTCACATCACCACGGCAAATAAAAAAAAAAGAAAGTAAAAGGTAGCCCATTAAAATTTGAGATTTTTTTTCCGCAGGTAAAAATGATGTATAAATACACAAATAAACGTGGAAACATCATTCCTTCCCTCTCCCCCTCAAATTCATAAAAGGCTTCCCATAAACCAGTTAGAAGGAGCAACCTGAACTATTTATATGATGAGAAATTAAAAAAAAGTCCAAAAACCAAATCTTAAAAAGTATATTCTTGACATCCCGAACACAAAAGAAAACGTGCTTCATTTGCAAATAAAATAATAATAATAATAATAATAATAATAATAATAATAATAATAATAATAATAATGATAACAATAATAATAATTGATCAACTGAGAGTATGAAACAAAATCAAAAGCAATTAAACAAAGAAAAAACACACTTCATAACTGGCCATATACGAAAAAAAACATGAGACTCCATAATTAAAAAAACAAAACTACTCTAATTGAATGAAACATAAAAAAGAAATTTAAAAAACCACACTTTGTAATAAAAACCCAATTAATCAATTCAATGCAAACATAACTAAAATCATACAAAAATTCTAGGCTAACTAACCAAATATGAAATCACATTATATTACCTGATAACGACTATGGTAGCTGTAACGGATGGACGCATAAAAATAATAGTAATAACACTATTCCTGAACGGAAAAAATAAAAAATAATAAAAGCCAAACGAATGATCTGTGGAAATAAAATCATTTAAATTTTAATACCTGTAATGCCACCATCACAACGGCCGAAGCAAGATTAATGAGATTTTTCTTTTTTTTTTTTTCCTTTGTGTTTATATAGAGAGGTAAAGAGAATATTTTTTGAAGTTGAAATTTTATTCGATTAGGATGTAGTTGATCATTACTAATGAAAATATGGAACATGCTAATAGGAAAGGAGTATATTTCATCACATACTCTCAATTGATGATTGATGAGGAATTTATTTATTTTTAATTGTGGAGAAGGGATTGATTAGGGAGTCGATTGTGGTGGAGATGGGGATGAGGATTTGGATTTTTTATGAACCCGTGGTTTTTTTTTTTTGGCGAAAATAGGAGGTGGAGGTGAATTTGGACTGCATTTGACTTCTAAGTCGAGGAGATGTGGAAATAAAAATTTATTTTAAAAATATGATGTGGAAATGCCACATGGCAAATGGTGGTGCTTTCTCTTAAGTGTGGTTTTTGTTTCTAATATAGTAAAATATAATAAAAAAAAGAAAAAGAAAAAAGGAGAAAAAGTAGGAGCATAAATCTTAGGAACTTGCTTATGTTTTAATCATTTTTTCATTGTGTGTTTTATGTGTTTCTTGTATTGATAATTTAAAAAAATGTATTGAAAATATAATCAGGTATATTGGAATGAGATAATCATTAATAAATTAATTTTAAAAAAAATCATTAGAAAAAAGGAAAAACACACACTGAAAGCTATTTCTCGTTCCAAACTAGTTGTAAGAGCAAGTGCAGTGGAAGTAAGTGGCCTAAACCACGTGCCACTTACTTCTACATTGGAGAAAGTTGATTCATTGCTCTCGTGCTATTTACCTCAATAATTCCTGTAAAAGTGGTACAGGTATGGGCTATTTATGTTTTCACTTTTGAGTACCTTTTCTATATTTATGAAAAAAAAAAAATTTGAGCAAATGTTACTGGTAAATTTGATGGAGGCTTAACTTTTTTTTTCCACGTTATCTCTACAATACCAATTATGTATCATTTTTTTCAGATTATCTTTTGGTTTAAATTTTTAGTTTCTTGAAAAAAATTTTGTAGGTTACTTTCTGCACTTTTTTTTTTTTTTTGCAGGTTATCTTTTGCCTAGTTTGTTTTAGTTTTTCAAAAAAAAAAATTAGAGATTATTTTCAGCAATGCTACTTTTTCTTTCTTCATATCATCATTCATTTATAAATAGATATCAATTTCTTGCAAATTTTTTACACGATATCTTACTCCTTATTTGCTTTTACCATTTATTTTCATTGGCCGATATTATTTTCAGCCATATGGAAGAAAATAATAATTCTAGAAATTTTTTAAGTCCCTCAAATTACCAAAATCCACAATTAAATTTTCAATCTTCACAGAATCTTCAACGTTCACCTAACTTCTAATTTCCACAAAATTTTCGAAATCCATTAATGTTCCTAAACCAGACACCAAATATTTCAAATTCATTTAATGTCCAAATTCCCTAAAATTTCCAAAATGTGCCACCAAATTTCTCAACTACGCCTAGTATTCAAATACCACTTAGTTTTCAAAATACACCAATCTTTTAGAATCTCCACCAAAACTTTTAAAATACCCAATAATTTCAAAATTAACCAAATTTTTCATACCAATATCTCACGAATCCAACCTCTAATTATTTAAACCCAATTACCGTAAGTGAACAAATATCAGGATATAATAACGTTGGTACCAATAAAGAAAGTGTAAATCCAGAAAACTCATTTTTTCAGGTACTCAAATGCCACAATATTCAACACAACATGAGGGAGGAGGGGGATTCAGATGTTATAAGTGAAACAGTAGAAGAATTGGCTGGCAAACGAGAGAAATGGAGTATAGAGGATCAAGAGACACTTGCACGAGCTTGACTAACTGTATCTACACACAGTGAAGTTGATACCAACAAAAAAGAAAAATAATTTTAAAAGCGAATCACTGAATATTATAATAAGTATAAAAAGGGTGGACCTACAAGAAAATAGAAAGAATTAAAGCGCAATGACATTGGATGAGCAAACGGGTTAATATATTTAACCAGCACTACAACAAAATTGTTGGAGAGCATCCTAGCGGGTATAATGAGGAATTGTACAAACAGCACACCCATGCACTTTATCATCAGACTGAAAATATGAATTTTACACTCAAACATGTACAAGTATTGTTAAAAGATAATCCAAAGTGGAAAACAGTCAATCCTATGGAACGGCCTTCCAAGAACACCAGGACTAATGAAAGTGGTGAACATGTTACTTCGTCTAGCCACCATTCAGGATTCGACCTCAACGAAAGTTTACCTGAAATTCGTCCAATTGGTCAAAAGGTAGCCTAGCGAAAGGGAAAACAAAAGGTTGGGTGAAACTAGTTCGACCTCAATGTTTGAAAAAGGGCTCTCTCCGATTCAAAAAATAACAACTGCTATTCGACAGTTAGCATATGGAGCGACATACGACCAAATTGATGAGTACATAAGGATTGGTAAATCTACTGGAATAGAGTGTTTAATGAAATTCTGTCAATATATAATCGAGATATACGGAGAATGATATCTTAGAAAACCCAACGCCGATGACATAGAGCGCTTACTTCATATGCATTCAGAGTGCCACGGGTTTCCAAGCATGCTTGGAAGCATCGATTGCATGCGTTGGCAGTGGAAGATGTGCCCAGTTGGTTGGAAAGGCCAATTTACTCGAGGTGACATAGGTAAACCCACAATAATTCTTGAAACAGTTGCATCAGCCGACCTCTGGATATAGCATGCATTTTTTGAACTTGCAGGGTCTAATAACAGCATCAATGTTCTAAATCAATCCCCAGTTTTTAATGATGTATCACACATGCATGCTCCTAATGTCAAATTCACGGTTAATCACACATAATACAATAAGGGGTATTATTTAGTTGATGGTATATATCCTGGGTGGACAATATTTGTGAAGAATTTTTCATCTTTATTGGATTCAAAAAGGCGTTTATTTAAGAAAATGCAAGAAACTACAAGAAAGGATGTGGAACGAACTGCAAGCTCGTTGGGGTATTATACGTGGTCCAACTCGCTATTGGAGTAAGCCAAAATTGAGAACTATAATGTATGCATATATAATATTGCAAAATATGATTGTTGAAGATGAAGGAATTGAAACATCAAATTGGAGTGCGAGAGATGATAATGGATGTCCTTCAATTAATTAGAGCTGAGGTGCTCACCGAAATTTTCAACGCTATTTTGAAGTGAATTCGGAACTCCGGGATCGTCATCATCAACTCCAAACAGATTTGGTAGAACATATTTAGGCATGATTAGGACACAACTATAATGACAATTAGATAAATTTATCTTTTAATTTGATTTAATTTGTGTTTTTATTTTTGTACCTTTATTGAGACTTTTTGTATTTTAAATTTTCTTGTGTTTTTAATTATGATGTGTGTTATGTACCTTAAGTTAAATGATTTAATTAAGGATTAAATATTTTTATTTGATCTATAATTTTTCTAATTTTTTTTTCTTTTACAAATGCTAGGAAAAAAATAAAATGTGACAAAGAAATCAAATATAGTTTGTATTAAAATGTTGTGATAAAACCGAAGTATGGACAACCGTGGGGGATAAGGTGCTGAGAAATTGGAGGAAATATCAACTGACCCATATTTTTACTATTTTAAGTAAATTCATTGGAGGATAGATCAAGTAAATAGATGCTGGGATAAGGTGTTCAGAAACTGACCCACATTTTTACTATTTTAGGTGAATTCATTGGAGGAAATATCAAGTAAATATTTTAGGTAAATTCATTGGAGGAAATATCAAGTAAATAGACGTGGGGTTACTTATGTTGAGTTGGAAAAAAAAAAACCACCCTTTATCCTCTTCTACCATACTTGCTCTTAGTTTAGTACAACAAATTGGAAAATTATTTTGAGGTAAACGGAATCTTAGGCTCTAGCTCACTACTTGCAATTTTTGTGAAGGGGAATCCATCTTAACGGGCAAGAGGAAACTGAGACTGCGTGCCTGAGTTCATGTATATACTCTCCATTTTCTGGTAATCATCTGGAGATGATAGAAAACTTGAACCTCAAGAGCTATATCTCCAGCATGCACAAGAAAACTAATAAAAACGGAGCAGCTCGAAATGGAACAAAAATAGCGCATAACTTTTAGGAACAGTATATAAACGAGATCGATAAGGATTATGATTGAAAAATGAAGCAAAAACAGACCGATAAAGATTATGGTTGAAAAATGAAGCAAAAACTAGGAAGTTTAACGTACATAACAGAACCCTGTATATCCTAACTTCCTTGGCTTCTTTATTTATGAGTAAATAAGAAACAACTGACCATTTCAATTGTCCAATGACAGAATGCAAATTCACATTGAGAAGGAACATACTCTACACTTGCCTCATGCAAAGCATTCAAAGCACTTGTACATTACCGATGTAAACCAAATCATCTCCCGTATTTAACCACATATGCACAAATCAGGACATATATCCATACCTTCCTGAACCAGAAGCGTACTAGCTCGAATATTAACTTTAACTGGGATCATGTTGACAAATTACCCAAACATGATAGTAGCCTAAATGAATGGACAAGTATTAGCCATTCAATGATTATGAAAAGAGACCTTAAGACCCAAAATTTCCAGTTAATGGAAAAATGAACACAGACAATCAATGTAAACCAGAGTAAAGTCTCACATGCAGGTACAAATTCCAAATCCGAAAGGTAAATTCACTTCGATGCACATTAACTATTTGCAGCGTCTAGGCAAAAAATGAATGCAATGCATTTAACAAAAAAGAAAGCTGTACAAAAGATCAACAAATGAAAACGAAAATATCATACAAGAACCAAGTAAACAAAATAAAGCTCCTGTAGTCAACACATTCAAAGAAAAGGAAAAAAGCACGCTAGCAGAAACAGGATCCACCAAGAGAAAGCATATATGCTTTGCATTTACAATTGTATCAACATTCTGGACTAGAATAGAAGGATGACAAAATGAATGATAGTTCTAACTGCTAACAAAGAGAACCGGAGGATGATATTACTACAATAAGCATAATATAGCGTCATCCTTATTCTTAGACAGAGAAAAATGCATCATTCGCAAAATTCAAAACCAAAAGCAAATAACTCACTCATTATGCCTATTACCCAATTGGTTGAAAGGAAAAAGGAAATTCCATCATTTGCATTACACTGATACATTCATCATCCCTGTAACAAACAAAAAGTTCCGAGGGGAAACAGCATTGTTACTACAATCTAGCCCAATTGAAGAGAAGCTTCATTTTATCTACAGAGCATTAGGGCCATCTCTCAAAGAAGGAGACCTAGACATTATGCTGTCTCTTCCTAACCTTGATATACTCCTGCCACCTTTAGGAGTACCCATTCCTGGACTTGCCCCGCGATAACTTGCTCGGAGAGATTCATCTACACCATGTGACGACTTAGCAATAGCATTCCTCACAAACTTCTGAGCAGCAGGGGAGAGGGTCCTGCCACTGGGACTGGCACTCCCCCCTCTAACTGGTGAGTGTAGGGGTGGTTTCTGAAACATTTTTGACCTTTCCCTCAATTTACGAGCAGCCTCTCTAGACAAGGAATGAGCCTTCACATCCCTTGAAGGAGGCAATGGAATCTTAAACTGTGGTCCATCTCCACTTCCCCCGATATCAATGGGGGTGTCTTCTGGTTCCAACCTTACTGGCGTACCTTCAATTTCTCCCCAAGTGATAAAAGGCGATTCATCCACACCTGGAGCAGGTGAGGGAGTCCTCACAAAGCTGTAACCATTTTCTGCCTTCTTCTCAGACTCAACATAAAATTTATTAGGCGTCTTCCTTAAATCCTCCAAATCATACTTTTTCATCTTATCCCCAGCCCTATCAAACATAGGGAATGGGGTTGACCCAGCTACCGGAGTATAAAGAACCTCAACTGTATCATCTTCTTTTGCTTTGTAATCCACCAATTTACCCCGAAATCTAGTATTCGTCCTATTAATCTCCTTGGTCAGTCCTTTCAGCCTCTCAGCTATTTCCTCCTCAGTCAATGGCGCCTCTCCTCTATCTGCAGGATGATACATCAATAAGTTTTTTGCCGTGTACTTCCACCCTTCTAATGTAGCAACGGGTTGATCAGACGTGCCAAACCCATCTGTGGCCACACGCTCCCTCTTCACATCCTCAATCAACTTAACATCTTCCGTTTCGCCTTCCAACAAATGAGCATACCTTTCCTTCCTCTTCCTATTCACTCTTTCCATAATCTTCGAAAAGCTCTCATTATCTTCACTGGTATACCTCCGAAAGAACTCATCCAAAGATAACGAAACATCTACCTCTCCATCCCCGTCGCCTAAATTTTCCCCATTGCTACTATCCCCATCCCTAGGGGTGTTGGTACTAAAATCATTCATCTTACCAGTATGGTCTTCAAAACCAAAAGGCGTAAAAGTAGATTGTCTAATGAAAGTCGAACCTGGGGTTGCCGTTTGAGTTCTAGACTTCGAAGTGGTACCTCCATCACCGCCGCCGCCGCCTCCTCCACGACGGCGTTCGAGGATTTTCAACTGGGCGTCGCGGATTTGAACAGGGTCGCCTGATCGTACAGCTTCAAGCCAATCCAGACGGTCCCGGAGCTTCGGAATATCGGGGAAATAATCGCGTTCGATGATCTTCTCAATGGCGGCGGCATAGGAATCTTCATCAAGGACTTTAGGGCGCTTTGACGACCTAAGTGATGACGATGACCCAGTGCTGGTAAGAGCGCGATTATCATCATTGGTAGAGAGGGGAAGCTCCGGCCCCGGAGATGGGGAAGAGAGGTGACGGGGAGAATGACCCGGGGACAATAGCATGGTGCCGGAATTCGAAAATTGAGGTGGCTAGGGCTCGATTCGATGCTTGAGAAATTTGAAGAATTGGGGCTTTTTAATTTTAACTAATTTCGGTGGGACCCCATAAACAAGCCGGTGATAACCTGTAAATTTTATTATTAATTTTTTTTTTGAAAAAACGGTGCTAACCTGTAAATTGAGTGTTGAAATAATGGCAACTGGATTTCTATTTTATTGGATTTTTTTGTTATTTGTTTTCATTTATTTAAGTTAATAATATTTACAGTAATATTATTCTCCCAAAAATATAAAAATGTCATCATAAATATAATCAATTTGCTGAAATATAATCAATTTTCTTTCCTGTCCATAGTCATCATCATCATCCTTAAAAAAATCAGGTTCTCCGTAACTTAAAAGAGGCAGGCCAGGGAAGAAATTTAACAAGTACTACAGGGGTAAGCTGTGTGCGTGTGGCGAGAAGAGGAATCTGGAAACTAAAATTGTTGTTTCAAAAAATTATCGAAAAAAAATCCATGAGCACGAGGAAATTTAAGATGAGTCTTCACCCCATGTCTCTAATGATGCTGAGCAGTCTGATCGGATTTCGACAGCGGCCACTCGGCAGTCACACTCTTATCCATGAGAATCCTTTCCTGGAACTGTAGAGCAATGTTTTCAAAATCGGAATTTCACTCAGGATCGTTTTGGCGTCTTAGGATCGGATTGGATTCTGGATCGGTCGGATCGGATCGGCAGGATCGGAACCATTTAAAATATTATAATAATTCTGAAACTGCGAGTTTCAATTTATTAGTTTAATTCTTGATTGATTTTATAGAGAAAAAGTATATTAGCTCCCGCATATGTATCACCAACTCAAAATTTTAACTTTTATATCTTTTCTAATCATTTTTTCCTCTTTTTAATACGAAAATCAACAATTTGAACAAGTATCGACAAAATCAATGGGATCGTTGGATCGTAGGATTCTATGATTTGGATTAGGATTTTGAAAGATTCTATAAGATCCCACTACAAAGAAGGATTTTATAAGATCCAGGATCGATTTCCTAATTCTGGATCGTAGGATCATAGGATTCTAAGATCTGGATCGGGATTTTGAAAACTATGCTGTAGAGGTTTTGGTCAGCAACCTACAATTTGTCTGCTGAATCGTTTGACCATAACATAGTACTTTTCTTGATCGAAACTCGTTGTCTTACTTCTCGACTAGAAGCTTGGTATCAATCTACTGAGTTTCAGCACTTGGAGATGATCCCTCCTCACCTCCTTGCGGGTGGTTTAACTGTTTTGTGGACATCAAATATAAAATTTGCAAGTTAATGTGAAATGTCAGTCGTTTGTGTGCTATAAAATAGTAGAATGCAATGGTTTGTCTTGGTTGTTGGTTTTTGTGTATGACCCTTCGACATATGTAAATAGGTTTACGGTATGACATCAACTGAATGAAACTATTGCTCCTTTGGATTACCCGACTCTGTCTGTTTGTCGGTGACTTTAATCAAATATTGTCGCCTGACGATAAGTTTGAGGGACGACCGTTTCAATCTTCTAAGGCATCCTCACTGTTGGCCCTCACTACTACTTTGGGCTTAACTGAGTTAAAAAAACATAGAGGGGAGTATGGTATATTTGGTCCAACAATCAATCTTCCACTTCATGTATATATGAACGCCTTGATCGTGCGCTTGCTTCACATTCGTGGTTAGATGTTTTTCCTCATTCTCTCCTTCAAAACTTACCAATTATGCGTTCTGATCATGGACCAATGTTGATTGATACCCGTTATCATCATAAGAAAACCACCTGGGTACCCCGTTTTGAATCTTTTTGGGCTCAAGACATGGCGGCTCACCAGATTGTGACTCGTGTGTTGAATGTCCCTGTCTCGACTGCCTCACCGATGTCTAGCTTCTCAGCTAAGTTATCTGGCACCTTGGGACATCTCACAAATTGGCATAGCAAGTCATATAAGGCATTGGATCACCGTATCAGGTTATTACAGCAGGATTTGAAGAAGGCTCAAGCCACTCTTTGTACCAACCATTATTTTGTAAAGCATGATCAGCAGCTAAGTGTTGAGCTAAACCGCTTGTTGCAATAGCAAGATTTATACTGGTGGCAGAGAGCCCACTTAAATTGGAACATTGCAGGAGATCGAAACACGACTTTCTTCCATCATTGGGAGGCTCGCAATTGGATTATTGAGCTCCAGAATTCAGATGGCTCATGGGACGCCAACCCAGCTACATCTCTCATATGATCTTTTCTCATTTTTCTGAGGTTTTCACGAGACCGGATCCCTATCTCCCACCTCATGTAATGGTAAACACTCAAATCTTGCTTCCGAATTTACTTCGATCCCTTCCAACTCTCTCTCCAGCTCATAAGGAATGACTCTATATTCCTTTTATAGAACGTGATGCCAGCTAGTTTTTATCAGCATTTCTGATCTACTATTCGCACCTCACTTGTCTCGACAGTCCTATCCTTTTTTGATTATTCGCAATTGGAGCCAGAGTGGAATCAGACCGCTCTTGTCTTAATTTCAAAAGTTTGTATTCCTCGTGTTCTGTCTTACTTTCGGTCGATCAGTTTGTGTAATGTTAACTATAAACTCATCGCCAAATTGTTAGCAGACCGACTGAGACCTCTGATGTCAACTTTGATTACGGTGTAGCAGACTGGTTTTGCGCCTGATCGCTCATCAATGAAAATGTCCTTCTCACCCATGAATTAATAGAACATATCCGGCACTAGACCAAACCACAATCAGGACAGATGGCCATTTAATTAAACATGAGCAAGGCGTACGATCGTGTCTCCTAGCCCTTCCTATACCTGGTTTTGCAGCATATTGACTTCCCCCCTACTGCCCTTCGGTACATTCAACAGTGCGGTGAAACTGTCTCCGTTACGGTGAGACTCAATGGTCATCAATCTTCGTATTTTACTCTGTCCTGTGGCCTTTGACAAGGATATCCTTTGTCTCCTTGATTTTTCATTATTGCCCAACAGGTATTCTCCTCAATCCTTCAGCAGTATGAGAGTTGTGGTATTGGCATCGATATTCAAGAAGAGCTGGCTGCTCCCATAATCTTGCACTTAATGTATGCAAACGACTGCATCCTTTTTGCTTCCACCTGTACATCGCCCTTGTTCCTTTTAGCACTCATCTTTGATGCTTATGCGTGCTACTCTGGACAGCATATAAATTTTGAGAAATCAGCCTTGATTTTCAGCCCAAATACCAGTCCTCATCTTGCTTTCTGAGACACATCCTCCACATTGATCGAGACTTTTTTGATGGTCGGTACCTGGGAATGGGGTTGGATTTTAATCAGAACCGGAGTGACATTTTTTGCTGGTATTTCGCAAAAGATTCAGCATCGGGTTGCTAGCTTTCGCACGCACTCTATGTCGGTTATTGGGAGAGTTGTGCTTGCACGTCATGTTCTCAACTCTCTTCCTCAGTATGCTATGGGCATTTTTAAACTTCCTTAGCTGTCACTAATTCTATTGATAGGCAATTGGCCCATTTTATCTAGAGTGGAGCTCAAGACGACTATAAAATTCATTGGCGAGCATGGCTTATTGTTTGTAAATCACGCTTTCATTGGGATTTAGGTATGCGGTCAGCCTCTGAAATGAACCAAGCTTTGTTGGGGTGCATTGCTTGGCGCATTCTTCAACATCCCGATACAGTTCTTTCTCAAGTTTACAAAGCAAAATAATGTCACCATTCTGAGTTTCTTACGGCTCAGCCCACACAATCTGCTACTTGGGGTTGGGGGGAGTATTGTGGGACCGAGACCTTCTTAAAACAGGGCTCAAATGGGAAGTTGTAGATAGTACTCGGATCCATGTGACAGCTGATTGGATTCTCGATTCTCCTAATCCACTAGCCCATTCACCCACTATTGCACAAGATACTTCTCTCCGTGTTTCAATGCTTATATCCCCCTATGGTGGTTGGCACCATTCTTTGCTGCGGGATCTCTTTCCACCTTATATTCTACCACGGATCCTTCGACTGTACTTTCCTAGATAAGCTTCCAGTCAAGTTGATCTCTCTATTGGAAATTTGACCGTAGTGGCCTTTATACCGTGTGGTCTGCATATCACCAAGCTTGCATAATTAATGTCGCTGTCTCAGCTTCGCCGTCCACATTTGTTATCCCCTTCATAAAAATGCTATAACTTCAACCATGAAATTTGTGTCAAGATAGACATGGAACCTAAATTTGAAGAAAAAAGTAAATTCATAGAAATCCGCATTTTGATGAAAATGTGGAGATTGAAACTATTGAAACCACTCAAAATATTTTCAAAACTGATTATTTTCTTTACATAAGTAATAGAGGTATCTCATCACTACAAAGTTGATTTGTAAATTTTAAAATGTAAGATTTTTTTTTTCGGTTTTCGATTTAGCTTGAAAAAATTAAAATCACTTGATGAGAAAAATTTAGAAAGAGTTGTTTTAACCTTCAAAACTCCTTAAAACACAATGATAGTTTAGATATTGGCAGTTTAGATTTATTTTTATGAACTAAAAATTTTAAGAAAAAATGTAAATGCTAAGAATTATAATACAATTGAAATATTTAATTATATTAAAGACATAAATCTTTTTCCAGATACTTGTATTGCATGTAGGATAATGTTAACTATTCATGCAACAGTTGCTTCAGCAGAAAGAAATTTCTCAAAACTTAAATTAATAAAAAGATTACTTAACATTAATAATGTCACAAGACAGATTATAAATGGATTGACTATTATATCAATAGAAAAATATTTTGTCGAGAAGATAAATCATGTACATTTTATATTACAACCAAAATAGTTAATATTTGGAATAAATTTTTTTTTTTACTCCGCCTGCTACAGGCTCAAGGGTTGATAGTTACCGGTCTCAAACCCGGAAAAATAAAGTGGGTTACTTTTTTTTTTAATTTTCTTTATTATATATCAAAAGAGCTCGATTTCAGAACTTCCCTTAGGCCCAAAAACCTTGAGCTGCCCTTGTAGCTTGTCCTAATCTAGGGTTATAGGGATGCTTATGTTTACATTGAAAAGGGACATGGAGTCCT